AAAAAAAAAGAAGTACAGTTTTAAGATAATGTATTTCATGCAAGGTTTTTTTTTTGGTACCAGGGATTGAACTCAGGACCTTGAGCTTGTGAGGCAGGCAGCAGAACCACTGAGCTAAATCCCCAGCCCCGCAAGGTTCTTAATTTTAAAATAGAGGATGTTTTTAAAGTGTATGAAATATATGTATGTGCGCGCGTGGGCGCACACACACACACTCACACACATAGGATAGATCCTGAATCTTAATGGTCATTAAGTTTGGCCAAAGAACTTGAGAGTTTTCTTTCTCTGTTATTACAAAAAGTTTGTATAGAAGAATACTTTAAGATATTTATAAGCCTTACTGGATCATAATAGAGATGCATTTTGGAGCAGAAGTACAATTAGGAAAACTGAACTATATAGAGTCAATATACTCACAGTAAATATACATTTATGAAGAGAGTTCTGCCTGTTTCTTTATGGGTCCTCTTGGAATGCTTTTTTGGGGGAGTATGGAAGAAGAGAATGTTCATTCTTTTAAGGGTGCTCCTTCCTTGATAAAAGAAGGATCAGAAGCTAGATCTTAAGGCAAGTCCTCTCCTTTAAGCCTCTGCTGATTCTCACTGGCTATATTTCCCCTAAGAGACTATGAGTACAATACTCAAGAGACATTTAGGCAACTACCCTGTGTTCCACATGACTAGAACAAAGATTATATTTGGATCAGAATATGACAGCAGGTGGGTCATGGTGGCACAAGCCTGCACTGAGGCAAGAGAACTGCCATAAGTTCGAGTCCAGCCTGGACTGCATGGTAAGTTCAAGGCCAGTCTGAGCTACATAGTGAGACCCTGTCTCAAAAAAACAAAACAATAACCAGAGTGATAATTAAGACTGTATTTATGCTTCAGTATATACCACATATTACATAATCCCCTAATTGCATCACATGTCATATAACAGAAATTTATGACATGTACCTGGGTCCACACCAGGAAGTCTTCAGGACAAATCAGTATGTTACTTGCAGTCAAAACTGCTCCAGCCAGAAAGGAAATAATGAGATTTTCCAGCGAGGATATGGAGGTCCAGAAACTGGTTTGGTTAGTTTCTTTGCTTACCACCCTGACCTAGATGACTTTTTTCTGTATCTTACAAAGAAATAGATCCTCTGTGATTTACCCACATGGTATCTGCCTGAATTTTGGTTAATCTAAATGTCTATTAGTCATAAATGGCAGACAGCTATATGTCTTATACTATGCTAAACAATTTCCATATCTTTTTTAGTCCACGAGATTTGAACTATTACCACTTGCATTTTATGAGGCTTAGAGCTGAGTGTGATGGCTCATGCCTATGTTCCCAGGATTCAAAAGGCTGAGGCAGGAGGATCACTGGGAGTTCGAAGGCAGCCTGAACTGTATAGCAAGACCCTGACTCAAATCAAAAGAAGGAAAATAAAGAAATAAAGAAGTTTAGCAAGTTTAAATAACCTGCCCAAGGTCACAGTGTGGTATACAAGCGGCTCAATCTCAGGGCAGCCTCATTGTAGCCCAACTTCTGTGACATACACTGTGCCTTCAATGTGTTTCTCCTCTAACATTAGCTTAGAAAGAAAATATTCTAATAAAATTTAATCTAACAAAGTAACTTAAGAAAACATATATCAGTGGTAGCAAACCTATGGCATGACCTCTCTATCGGCATGTGAACAAGCTGCTCTAGTAGTCGAGCACTGGATAACATTCTGTTTTCTAAACTAAGACCTCTGCATTCAGGTTTAATTGCAGTGTTGGCACTTTGTGATAAATAAATGGGTCTTGGGTTGCAGTTTGGACACTAAAAGGTTTGCCATCATTGATCTATGCTAATAAAGAAATCCTTCTTGAAAACTCTGCCTTATGCAAAGTAGAGTTTGATGGGAAAGAGACAGGAGAAAGAGGTCTTTCTTCTAATTCTGGAAACTCAAGCCCAAAATAAAAGTCTTTACATAAGTGCCCCTGTGGACAACAGGCCACTCACTCTATTCAACAATTCGAATAATACGGTATGTTCATGGCAGGGTTAAAAGTAAAGTCTTCCAGGGCTGGGAATTTAGCTCAGTGGTTCTGCCACCTGTCTTGTAAGCACAGGATCCTGAGTTCGATCCCCAGTACAAAAAAAAAAAGTAAAAAGTAAAATCTTCCACTCAACAAGGGAGAGAAAAATAGCTACTCAGGATAAGCATTCTATCTTACAGAGATTTAAAATGCATAATAAGCTTTTAGGGATTTTTCAGATCATTTGCAAACCTATTCATTTAATCGCTAAGCCCATTATAAGTAAACAGTTCAAGGCAGCTTCCTCAAGGGAGAATTACCTGTAAAAACTGCTGTGGTGGTTGGGTCAACTGAGCCTGAGATGGTTGCTGCTCCTGGGAACTCTGCTGCTGTTGCTGCTGTTGCTGTTGCTGTTGCTGCTGCTGCTGCTGTTGCTGCTGCTGCTGTTGCTGCTGCTGCTGTGTCACCGACAAAGTCTGTGCCTGCTGCTGTTGTGTGGCGAAAGTAGGATAGGCAGTCACCACCTGACCCATGAGCATGGTACTAGGTACCATGACTGCTCCGCAAGCTACAGGAGCAGTCACTAATTTGGTCACAAGTTGCTGACCTTGAGAAAATCTGTTAGGGGAAAGAAAGAAAAGGAATAAAGTCAACGTATAAGGTATACATCAAAAAGCAGTGATTTGAACATTTATCTGAAATAATACCCAATGATAATTCTGGTTTAGTTTTATAAAAGGTATACATTCCTGTTTTGTTTCTATCTTTAAAGATTCCCTTTGGTGTAGCTGCAAAACAAAATACGTATGTAGCAAAATTAACATATGACAACAAAAACAAAAGACTAACAAAAACAATTTTAAAAAGTTTATATTCAAAAGAATAAAGTTAGACTCTTACATCATGTACAAAAATTAATTCAAAGTTAATCTAAACATAAGAGCTAAAACTATAAACTTTAAAAGAAAATAGGAATGCTGACAATGGACTGGGCAATGATTTGACAACAAAAATAGAAGTGACAAAATAAAATAGATATTAAAAATTTGGGCATCATAGGACAAAATTAATATAGTAAAAAAGTAACCTATTACTGGGAGAAAATGTTTACAAATCATATATCTAATAAATCTGATTATCATAACACATAACCGAAACACATGAAGAACTGTTACAATTAACCAATTCATTTAAAAAAAAATAAACACAGGACAAGCTTGAACAGATATTTCTCTAAAAAGAGGTATACAAATGGCTAATAAACACATGAAAAGGTACTAACATCACTAGTCCTTAGGGAAGTACAAACCAAAGCCACAAGGAGAAGCCATGTTGTACCCATTAAGATGGATATCCCTATTTTTTTTTTTGGTACTTGGGATTGCACTCCGGTCCTTGCACGACAGGCGGCAGAACCACTGAGCCAAATCCCCAGCACTAGGATGGATTTTATAGAAAAATACAACAGGAAATACTCAGTGTTGGCAAAAAATATGGAAAAACTGGAGCCTTTTTCTACTACTGGTCGGAGTGTAAAGTGGTTCAGCCACTATGGAAAACTATATAGCAGTTCCTCAAGAATTCAAAAATATCACCTCATGAAGCAGTTCACTTCGTGTATACACGAAATGAGAGCAGGGACTCAGATACTTTTAAACCTATATTCACAACAGCACTTATTCATAATAACCAAACAGTGGAAACACCCGAAGTACACACTGACAGGTAGAATAGGTAAACTGTGGTATACTCCTACGATAATGGTATATTATTCCACCTTAGAAGAAGGAATTCTGACAGATGAACTTAGAACATTACTGTGCTAGGTGAAATAGGCCAGGCACAAGAAGACAGATACTGTGTGATTCCATCTATTTAAAATCCTCAAAGCAGCCAAATTCATATAGATAGAAAGTAGAATGGTGGTTCCCAAGGATGGGTAATTGCTAAACTTCAATGGGTAAAAAGTATGAAACTTCTGTCTGGAAAAATGAAAAAAGCAGATTCTGGAGATGGTTGGGGCTAATAGTGACAACTATGTGAATAATACCACAGAAATACATACTTTGAAAGGTTAATGTGGTAAATTTTTTGTTGTATATATTTTACTACAATTAAAAATTTTTAAACATGTAAAAAATATGAACTTTTTTATTTTATGAAATGACTAGGTACTTTAGAGTCAATACACGTAGCACATGGTCTGTTTACCATATGGGTACTTACGGCTATCATAAGGTCATTTTTGGTTGGTTCTTTTTTTTTTTCCTTTGGTATTGGGGATTGAACTTGGGGCCTTGTATTTTCAAGGCAGGTGGTGGAACCACTATGGGTGTTTTTAAAAACTCCATTTATAGAAGCTTTATCTCATAAACATAATTCAAAACAAATGACACTCTTTATAATGGAAAAAAGTACTGTAGCTTTATAAATTTATCAGTGCTCGCTGTATTAGAATTTACTAATTTTCCTTCCTTCTCCTCCCTCCTGTCTTAACAAGAACAAACAATTCTGACTCTTTGGGAAACAATGTTACTTCAGTTTGCCTTTTCTGTGACATGAAGTTTGTTTCTATAATTGGCCATCTTAGCAAGGAAACTGAGGTATGACTTACTGTAGCATATCTTAACTATAGTACACTGTTTAAAGTACATAACTATAGTAAACAGTACAGTACAAATGTGTACTTTTATGTTGTAAAAGTATGGGACCTGAACCCAGGGTCTTCTGCATGCTAGTTAAGTGCTGTATCATTGAGCTAAATTCCCAGCCTCTAAAATAAAATGTGTTGAATCCATGCCAGATCTTGAATAAAACATTTTATATACTTCAAATGTTTAAGGGCAAAAAACTTCCAAAACAAAAACAAAACAAGAATTTCCAAATAAAGAAACCTCAAACAGGGCCAGAGATTTAGTTCAGTGGGCAGGCACCAGGGCCCAAGTTCGATCCCCAGTACTAAAAAAAAAAAAAAAGCTCAAATAAGTGACATTTAGAAAGTGTTTAGTAACAGAAGTGCTAAGTGCCAATTCCTCTGTCATCTTAAACAAAACTAGTATGTGAATTGTCCAAAGGCTCACTGATAAATGTGAGAATATTTCATCCATCTCTAGTACCAAAAAACATTCTTCAACTTATTTTGTTCAACTCATATGTCTGTGGCTTTGTAAATACTTTTTCCTCTGCCTAGAATGCCTCCTACAACCCCAAACACAAGCATCTGCTCCTTAGTGAAGCTTTTCTACTTGAACAGTCACTCTCTCCTCTCCATCTGCTTGCCTCGATCTACAAAACTGCTCACGTCCTCCTTTAAAGGAGTGTACATTACTGATGGAGTACTCATCCCACTAAATAATACTGACTTACTGCTTTTCTGCTCCTACCCTGGCCTTTCCCCGAGTAATACCGATGTATGTAGGCTTCAATGTTTTCCCAAGCACAAGGGCCCGAGTAACAACAACAATAACAACAAAAAGCAGGTAAGCACTTTAATGAAAAGAAAAATGCTTGGCTATCCTATATTTAAATAATTGGACTGGTAAGAAGTTAATGTCTTTCTTCTCAAGCTTTCCAATCAGTCCTCTGGCTGCAGGCTTAGCTCAGTGACAGAATATGTGCTTAGGATGTGTGGCCCTGGATTCAATCCTCACAAACAAAAAGAAAAACAAATCAGCCCCTTGCATTTCTATGGAGCAATTTGTAAGTCTTCCTTTCAGAATATGAGAGCTAAAAGTTGAACTCTTTAAATTGAGGAAACTTCTCTCTGCTGTCATTTCCTAGGTAATGGTGCAGATTCTTTATTCTGAGTATTATCAGCATGATTTTAATTTACACTGCATAATACAACAGTAAGTACTGTATATAAAAGATGTAGTTATAGTAAAATGAGAAAACATGTAAAGCATTTAAAATTGGAGAACTTTTTAATCCTTACTCAGTATGAATTAATTCTTGTTTTTCTTGTTTTCTAGCTTAACTGAGTATCTGTTATATTCTAAACTTATGCTTAATCATAAGTGTGACCCAATGGTTGTTCAGGAGAGTGTTATTCAATTTCCACGTGTTTGTGAAGTTCTTGCAGTTTCTTTTGCTTTTGATCTCCAACTTAGTTGCACTATAGTTTGATAATACACATGGATAACTTCTACTCCTTTGCATTTACTTAAACACGTTCTATGAGCTAGTATGTGGTCTGTCTTGGAGAATGACCCATGTATAGCCGAAAAGAATGTATATTTTGATTTTGTGGTTTGGAACACTCTGTAGATGTCTATTAAGTCCATTTGTTCAAAAGCTTGGTTGAGTTCTAGCAGTTCATTGTTGACTTTTTGTCTGGATTATCCATCTGTGACAGTGGGGTATTAAGGTCCCCCACTACAATTGTATTAGTGTTTATGTGGTTTTTCATCTCCCTTAATATTTATTTTGTATAGCTGGGCACATTAGTATTTGGTGCATATATGTATTTATGTTTATCATCTCTTCCTCTTGGATTGTTCCCATTACAAGGATGTAGTGACCTTCTTTGTCTCTCTTAATTTGTTTCGGTTTGAAATGTACTTTGTCTACAAATAAGATAGTTACCCCTGCTTTTTTCCAGGTTCCTGTCAAATGGAGATCTGTTTTCCATCCTTTTACTTTCAGTCTATGAGTTTCTTTTTGAACTATGTTTCTTTTATACAGTATATTGTTGGATACTTCTTAATCCATTCTGCCAGTCTATTTCTTTTGATTGGTGAATTGAGGCCACTGACATTGGTGGTTATAACTGATATGTATTAACTTATCATTATCAAGGTTATTTTCCTGTTGGCTCTTTTTAACGCCCCCCCCCCATTTCTTGCCTGCTGGATTTGCTCTGTAGGGCCTCATGGAATTGTGATCTTGTCTTTTTCTAGGATATTATTTAGAATTGTTTGGAGTGCTGCATTGGTATTCATGAAGTTTCTCAGGTGTTCATTGTCATGGAAGTATCTTACTTCCCCATCCATTTTGAAAGAGAGTTTTGCAGGATACATCAGCCTTGGTTGGAGGTTGTTTTCTTTTAGGTCTTGAAATACTTCACTCCAGGCTCTCCTTGACTTGAGGAAAAGTCTGCTGTGATTCTGATGGGCTTTCCTTTGCATGTGATTTGTTTCTTTTCTCTAATTGCTTATAGTATTTCCCTGTTCTGTTGCATTTCTAGGATCTTGATTATTACAAGTGTAGGTGTAGATTTTTTTGTGATCACAGATATTTGGAGTCCTATAAGCCTCACTTATCTGTATGTCAAATTCTTTTGCTCTGTTTGGGAAGTTTTCTGTCATTAATTCTGTAACCAGTTTATGTCATTTGTACTTTCTCCTGCTACTTCATGGATTCTTATCAGTCTTACATTATTCTTCTTTGCATCATCTAGGAGCTGTTGATTTCTCACATTCCCTAACTTTTTTAAAAGAGATCCCGGGCTGGGGATTTAGCTCAGTGGTTCCGCTGCCTGCCTTGTAAGTGCAAGGACCCAAGTTCAATCCCCGGTGCAAAAAAAAAAAAAAAAAAAAAAAAAAATCTTAAAAGAGATCCCTCTTTTCATGGTCAGTGATCACCATCCTGCCTTCTATATCTGATATCCTGTTATCAGATTGGCTCAATCTGTTATGTATACTTTCAATAGTTTTTAATCTCCTAAATATCTGTCTGAATCTGTTTTATGAATTCCATTTCTTTCCTATGTTGTGCATTCATGGCTTCTATCATGGTCCTGAGCTCATGTATTTTTAAAATCTGTTTCTGTTCTAGAGTCTGTAATTACGTCTTTCATTCTGCTCACCATCTCTAGTTATCTGGGAAATTATCACTAGTTTGAATTTTTCCAGAGTCTCATTCATCTTTGGTTTCTTCCTGTTATCAGGTCAGGATGTCCAGGTGGTTGATTATCAGACTTCTCCCCCACATTTCCCTCAGAATTTGCCTTTGATGAACAGACAACCTTTATTTGTGCTTATGCCTGGCTTCACTATCTTCTCATTTCTATTGTTGTAGTTGGTACTGTTCTTCGTTTAATTCCTGGGTTAATACTTCAATCTTCCTGTTATAATTTGTCTTTAGTTTTTGAGTCTCTAATGACTCTGAGGCAATCCCATTTTCATTATACCAAGAAGGGCAATTGATTAAATCAATCATAACACCTTAGCCCAAATAATATAATCAGCAACACAGTAGCATCAAGTACAGCTTTAAAAACGACAGTGTGTGCTAGTTATTAGTCTATCACTTTTAACTGTGTGAATTAAATCAAAATCAAGGACAGAGCTCAGAATAATGGTCTTTATGACCCCATGCCTCTGGTATGAATCTAGGTACCAGCCCAGCCAGGAGGGCAGAGGCACATGGGGGGGTGGTAGGCTGCAGGCTCCTGAGGGGCTCCACCTCTCATCATTTCTCTGCCTGAGTCCTGGAGGGGTGGGGCTGTGGTCCCAGGCAAGCTCCATGCAGCTGTGCCTCTCCGTTCCTCTCCCTCCATTTTAGAACTCTTTCAAGGTGATCTGCTTGCCTCTTTACAAATTCAAATTAATGTAAACAAGGTTTGCTTGAAGCAAAGAGTATCAACTCAAACTTGATGGACTCACATCTCCACTCTGCCCATCTTGCTCCAAGTTCCTTCTGTCAGTCTTCTCCTCTCTCATGGTTACTTTGAGTTTGGGGAACAGCCAGATGTCAAATGGTGCCACATGTGGTGAATAAGGTGGATGAGGACACGCCATATATCTTTGACAGAAGTTTCCACTATACCAGAAGTGATGTGTGACACAGCATTGTCATGATGGAGGCAAAACTGCCCATTTCAAAGGCTGTTTTCCTTGCACACTGTTTCTTAAAAATAAGCCTTTACTATATTCATAGGTCACTGTAGTGTTCCTGGGTACAAACTCAGCTTACACATATGTTGGAAAACATAACATCACCTTGACTGACATGATTTTTCAAAAGAGGAGAACTGGGTGATTTCCACTGAGAACTCTGAACTTTGGTATCAGGGCCATAAATACAAACCCAAGTTTCATTTCTCATGATGACATGTCCTAAAAAGCTGGACTCTCAAGTGGCACAAACTCCAAAATCTAATGAAACTGACAAATGCTGTTAGTTTTGTCTGGCAGTGAAAACATATACTCAGTCACCTCATGTTCAAATCTGTAGTTAAAATGTTCTGAATGAGGCCACAGCTAAAACTTGTCGCACCCGCTATTACTAAGATTCATGCAGTTTGTTTTAAAAGTCTTTGCCTTTCTATTGGATGACAATCAGTAGCTGCATTCACTATAAATATATTTTTATCATACCATATTAAGTCAATGATGGCTATTTTTCAAGAATACTGCACAGTGTAGTATATATTTAAGCAGCTCAGCTTTCAAATCAGACACTCATAATTGAGTCCAGAGCTGCCTCCTCACTGACTTAATCAGTAATAGGCGCTTGACCAAATTATTAAAAGCCCACTTTTGATTAACTGGAAAATGAAAGACGATACCAATATACATTAAAACAAAAAGGGGAATGACTATTTTAAGCACTTAAGAAAGGTATGTGGTAGTAACTGCTGTTACTACATAAAACTTTAACATCTTGTATTGAAAAAAGTTTCAGACTGTCACAAAGGCTACATAAGCCTTTCATAACAATGTGCTACAAAATATGCATTCCATCATATTTGGTAACTCATTATTGGACAAGAAATAAAATGTGCAGTTATTCTTTTATTATAAAGTCAACAGCTTTGTGTTTTGATTTCAAATTTAAGAACAATGGCTTTAGTAAGCCAAGAAATTTTAAAAAATCAAATTATTCCTTTTTTTTGGGCAGTGCTAGGAATTAAATTTAGGACCGTGTGCATGTGAGGTAAGTGCTTTAATACCGAAATACATCCCTAGGCCCAAATTACTGCTTTTAATCAATCACTTTACAACTGTGAAAATGAAAACGAGGTATGACAACTACCTTATTTGTCTTTCCTGAGTGAATGTGGTTACTGCGGCACCCTGGGTGCTGTTCTGTGACATGCTGGATGGAATCTGGACCATGCTCCCGGGTGCAGGCTGAGAGATCACCATTGTGTTATACAGTGGGGCCGTAAGAGTGCTCTGCGTCTGACTGGGAAGAGACGTTTGCTGACTGTGCCCACTCAGTACACTCTGTTGACTTTGCTAGAAAAGAGAAAGTTTTAAAGATTAACTAAACAAAGTTATTTGGGAAGTTTGCTTCCACTATTCACAGTTTAAACAACTACTGACCTAAGAGTGAAACAGTGCCAAGATATATTATTTTGAGATAACTCTAAACCCAAAGGAGCAACTTTTGAGCCAAAATTAAATCTCTCCTCTCTTAAAAATAAAATAACACAAAAAATAAAGAAATGACTTATAGTAACTGCAAATGAAATAGTCTTGAATTCTTTGCTGCAAGAGAAGCTATGATTCTAAAAGGAGTATGATCTTAACAGGGATAATAGAAGATATACACAAAGGGTTTCTGTTAAATGCCTGGAGTGACCAATGATTAGGTATTTTTATATTTTTTATTTATGATCACAGTTGTACAGTAATTACCAGAATTTTTTGCATGCAGTGTTTCCTAACATATTCCCACTACCTTGACATGATACATGCAATGAGTGTCCCATCAGGTAGCTTGCAGCACTGGTGGTACAAGTGATACAGTCGTGCATAGGGCAGTCGTACATGTAACACCAGTGGCTCAAGCTGCCTGGTAGTGAAACATGAATTACGGCCCTGTCGTGAATGTGTTAAACCATCACCAACCCCCCACTCCCAGTGTATTCCACACATGTGGTGATGTGTTTGCTTCATTTTCAAACCATAACTTTTTAACATAAAGGAGACTATAAATTATAAGGGCCCATTATAATTATCAAACTGATCCTTAAACAAATTATAACATTTTTGAATGTCAAAATATTGAAAATATTTAACAGTAACATAATTTTTCAAAAAAATTTTAACACTTTAATATTATGTATTCTAATTACTATTAAATTTTAAAGGTATTAGAGATTTATTTTTGTTTCAGCACTGCACATATTTCAATCATTGGACACTACTTCTGACTGACTGTACCTGACAACCTTACCTGAGCTGATGTACTTTGTAAAGTCTGTTGTTGCATCAGGTGCTGACCTGTCCCCATATGTCCAGCACTCATTCCACTTTGAATCTGGTTAGCAGGAACAACCTGGCCTTGCATATTTATAGGCGTGAGCTGCTGGATATTAGATGTATTTCCAGAAGAAAGTTGAACAGAACCAAAATTCAATCCAGGGTTTGACTGTTGCAAAAACATCTTTGAAAATAAAAATTACATTTAATATTTTTTTGGTAGTATTGGGAATTAAATTTGCCTTGGAGCATCCAAGGCAAGAACTCTGCCCTGAGGTATATCCCCAGGCCTAAATGACTTCTGTAGTAAAAAAAATAAGAATGACAGCATAAAAGGAAAGTAAGCAAAATGAAGTTTCAAATGAAGTTTAAAAGGCAAATAACAAGACCACAACTTGTTCTGAGTGGAGAATTAGTAAAAATGACTGAATCAAATATGAAACTTTGTATCATTTTGCCATGCATTCTAACATTAGCATGTTCCCAACCATTAAGAAGTGTATCTCAGTGCTACTCAAAGCTCTGTGGACTGGCAGATTTGTATCATCCATCACTCATCATTTATGGCAGTAGACAAAAGTAGTTTTTTTTTTCCTCCTACACTGGTGTTCTTTGCTTATCAAGTCAGACGAATATGAATCATACCTACTGGTATTTTATTAAAACTATTACAAATTCTGTACCTCAAAGCTATTGTAAAGTATAATTTTTATATTACAAAGACGAGCTTACTAAAAGTTGGACTTCATTAATCCTGAAAAACAAGAATGTTAAGGGAACTATTCTTAGGAATGAGTGTTTGGATTAAGTATAATCACATTGTGTAGGTAACCAATGGGTATTTGCTGAACTGAACTAGTGAAGTGCACCTAATCCCCCACTTCTTTTTTTTTTTTTTTTTTTTTT